GAATTGCATTCTTCATCCTGAGTCTTAATTTTTCAGAATATAAAAGAGTAGCCTTCATACATTATAGATGCAGGCTTAAACGTCAAATTGCCAACAATTAAAGATTGCCAAGGAGAGATAACAATTATTTTTATTTTTCCTGGCAATTTGCTTGTCATTAAGACAAGCGAACCAAGTAATTTTTCCAAATGGCTTTGAGTTTTACATCCATTTTTTTCTGGGGGAAAAAAAAGCGCAGGCTTTTATCTCAATTCTCTTTTGTATGTTGGCATTAATATTAATGCATTTTGAATCAGTAACTAAAAAGAAAGCGATGCTTTGATCTTTTTTTAATTTTAATTTTCTTAACATGTATTTGTCACTAAACCTGGCACACCCCTGCTCAAAAACGCCCAGTAGGCAACAACTACCTTTGAAATAAAGACTAAACTTTTGTCATGACATCTAAGACCTCACTCTCTGCCCATCGCACCCTTGTCAAGACTTCTCTTCATGTATGTAGCCAGAGCATCTGGCTTGTTCAACATACTGCAGCCCAAATGTTCCCTGTGCCAAAATGTTCTTCCGCTTTCTACCCACTTCCACTTGTTGAATTCTTACCTTTGAAGGCTCAGCACAAGGACTGCTTCCTCCTGAAGCCATCTTGGCTTTCCTCCTTTCTAGTAGAGCTTTCCTTCCTCTGTTTTCTTTTTATTCCACATTGCAATAAACTCCCATGCATGCAATTCCCCGCTAAATGTTAAGCTCGGGATAGGTGAGGACGGTAACGGCTGTTTTATGCAACTCTCCAACCCCTGCACTCCCTACTTTGGTGCCTGCCGTGCTGCCTTGGAAGTAGTAACGCTAACTGAATAGAGGAATGAGGAAATGTCTGAAAAATACAGCCCTTTCCCAGTCTCTGTTTAGTCATTTTCATTTTAATGGTCTTGCAAATTTAAATCAACAGGTGCTTATTGCCTGCATGCTCTGGGCTTGACAATATTGAAGAGGTTAAGAGTGATCAAAAATAGCCCAGAACCCAAAGCCTCTATCCAGGAGCTCTCAGAGTGGTTGGGAGAAAAAGACAGCCGTGCTGCAGCTGGAAAATTATCCAGCAGGGGCTTGGAGGCTTCTAGAATGGCAGTTCCTGGGCGAATCCTTCTGATTCCAGTCTCAAAGGCTGGAAACACCATTTTTGGTATTGTGGAGCTCACTGTGAAAGGGAGAACTATGCACGGGCTTAGAAGATGAAAGCTCTGGGGCTGCCTCCTGAGCAGACTTCTCCATACCTGTGTAGTTTAGGGGAGCTGAGCCTCCGAGTGGACCCTGCTATAGAGTAGGGAGGATGTGTACTTTCTAGGGGCCATGAGAAATTTGAATGAGAGCTCGGCTCGAGCTGCAGTTCCTCTGAAAAGCTTCCGCAACCCCTCATTGTGATGTAAACAGTCTTCCTTTGGACCTGTGCCCCCCAGCTCCTGTGCACAGCTATTCTGAACCTGGAGTAGCCGATGTACCCATCCATTCCCCCCGCCCCTCAAGGATATGAGCTTTTGGAGGGTCCTTGTCTGTGCTATTGCAGCAACTTCAAGTCTGACAGGCAAGGGCCCTTCTCAAGCCTGGGGTGATGCCCAGGAGTGCAGCCAAGTGTGGCTTCTAGAACTTCCCTCCACCCTCACTTTATTGTCAGGTAAAGTTAATTGCCATTTTCTCAATCTTAGGTAGAGTACCTGCAAATGCAGCTGCAAGACCAATCCGTCCCCACCACCGCCCAGGTAGTGGTGAGGGGGCAGCCGGCTTCAGTGGACCCAGGTCCTAGGGCCAGGCTCCACATCTCTGCAGCACTGGGACATGCACCCCACACACAGCCACTCTGTCTGCGCCGGCCAGACCCCTGCTGCCCCAGCTTCGAGGGTGCTAGCGGATTCTACCCTAGGGCCCCTTCCCTTAGTCCCCACGTGGCCTTCACCTTTGAATGTGCTAGAACACTGGCTGCTCCCTCTTTGCTTCAATTTGGTGTTACTCAAATTGTGTCTTGAGGTAATGCTTCCAATTTTCTAGTTTGTGGATCCTACCCTTCCCCAATTTCCAGCAGAAATCTAGAGTTTCCTAGTCGTCATTGTAACTGGAATTTGGAAGCGGGTGCTGAGTTAATGGGTAAGTTTAAATGCCCACCTGGGACCAAGACGCTGCCTAATCTCGGATGTTTTGACTCCCCTCCTTGGCAAAGGCCGGTGCACTTCCCTGCAGCCCACCCCCCTCTCCCTGCTGCCTCCCCCACATGCCCCAACACCAGGGACTCAACCCCATCCAGATGAACCTGCCCTTAGCCTCCTAGGAGGACAAGGAAACAGCCCTTCACACCGCAGCACTAAGGGTGGATCAAGGCCTCGGCTGTAGCGCTTACCATGTCGTATCTTTACAGCTTGTTTGTCATTACCACCCAACAAACATTAAGAACCAGAGAATCGAGCCGGGTTAAAATCAAATTGGTTGTCACAAAGGGATTCAAGTGGCCTCTACCAGAAAGATGTTGCCAAGGCCCCTCTCAGCTTCATCTCACTTCTGTTCATTGCATTTGCTTGTGGTCCATCGCTGTGCTGGACCGGAAGCCCTGGGAGGGCAGCAACATCTGTGCTGTCCCCTGCCAGATTTCCAGGGCCCTCATTTGCATATCTATGCTGCGAGCACATCATTTTCTTCTTCAATAAGAAACAAGAAAACATGCATTGAGCTCTTTTTTAAAAGCATTTATTGTTGAATTGGTGCTCATCGTATAAAATTTAGAAAGCACGGAAAACAAAGAGGAAAAGATTATCACCCATCATTATAATGGCATATTCCTTTACAAGGTTTTTTTCTATGTGAGTAAAATCCGGTAGCCTATTTTCCTTGCTTAACAATATCATAACCATTTTCTTTTGCTTTTCCCCACCCCCATATTTATTGAGTACGTACTATATATCAGGGACTGTGCTAGGCCTTGTAGATGTTTAAACTGGGCCTTAGAATGCCAGTGAATATTTCTGAGACAGAGGAGCAGGGCCACATAATTAAGGCAGAGGGATGCCACCTTCAAGTTGTGACATATGGAGAATGAGCTTTAGGCTAACGAGGGTAGCCAAAAAGGGCACCATAAGACAAATTTGCACTGAAGTCCAGCGTCTGTTACACTGGCCATGCTGGAGATGCTACTTTACACTATAGGAGAATTTCCAAGATTTGCCGACATTTCCAGAAAAATCCAAAAGTACAATTGATAAGGACGGTTTTACCAAAACCTGGAGCCATTCCCAAAGCAGTCTTTCTGCTAAAGACGCCTATATTTTACAAGTGAGGATGGTAATCTGTGCTGCCAACCAGTCAGAGGGGATGCTGGGTGCAGTGCTGGGGCACAGTCTGGAGGAGCCCACTGAGTGGTACCATCACATTGAGCCCTTACTTAGTCGAATGATCACAAGGAGCTCTGGGGAGTCTTGGGAAGAGACTAGGAGGCCAGAGCAGTGGTGGGGGAATCTCCAAGGCTCGGGGACACAGCTGTTCACCAACTAACACAGAAGTCTTGCAGTGTTTTAAGAAACATACACCGTACCAGAGCATCCTGGCAACCAAACCTATCCAGAGAGCATCTTCTCTCAAGCCTTGCATATCAGCTAGCCTGCTGCCTTTGACATGAGATCCCCAGTTTGCCATCCATTGAGCTTGAGCCAGAGGAGTATGAGTTGGGGCAGATACCGGGAGAGGGGTTCAGAGCCTGCCCATGGAGACAAGCTGTACTGGCTCTGCCATCCTCCTTTCTCAAGCACCTCCCGAAACGGTCATTCCAACCCAGGCTCACCGTAAGAGGCACACACTTGCTCATGTGTTCACTCAGTATGGCCACATAGCTCCAGAGTGGAGAGAGGGGGCTTGTAGGGTGAAGAACGGGCAAAAGGGTTAAATACGGACCTGAGTCCTGAACATCCATTAGCCACATTGGCTGGCATCTCCCAGAAGGCCTTCTCTTGTGAACAGCCATCTCCAAAGTCCCATTCTAGCATTCATTTTTACTGCCTGAATGTGGGGACAACATCCTTAGTCACGTGGAGTGAGAACTATAGCACCCTCCTTAAATCCCAGCTTCCCTACTAATTTGGGTTAGCAGGAAGTGGGTAGAAAAGACAGAGCTTTCCAATAAACCTGTCAATCATTGAAGGGAGGTGATTTTAGGGCTATACAGGAAGGGGATGACAAGGGACGTGGTGGCCAGGATTATGTACATTGAGTTGTGGGTACAAGCTCCAGGAAGCAGTGCTGGAAGCAACCTGCCCCCACCCACCCCAGGATTAAACTTCTCCCAGCCTCCCCCCCATGAAATACACAAACACGGTGGTCTTGAAGTTTCACAGCAACCGTTATTGGCAATAATGAGCTAACTGTACTTGCAATGTGTGTGTACTTGGAAGATGCATTTAGATGTTGTAGAAATGGTTGAAAGAGGACAGGGGATCTCCAACCAGGGCAAGAGGAGGTGACTGAGAGCTGGGGTTAGCCTGCAGGGCAGAGATCAGCCATTCTTCACTGTTGCACTCACGGTGGCTGTTGATAGCTTCCTAGTTGCTAGTGGGGCTTTCAGACACAAGGACGAGTTGCTCACGGAGGAGATCAGTGTAGCACAGCAGTCAGGAAGCAGAGGTTCAAACTGCCTCTCTGCTAGACTCTAGCCATGATCTTGGGGGCCAGTTTCTTAGCTTTTCTGCATCTCAATTTCCTCATGTGTAGAATAGTTTTATCTCTCAGGGTTGTTGTGAAGAGTAAGTAAAATAATGTTCACAAAGTACTTTGCACAGCATTTGGCAGAGCAAAGTCCTTAATAAAGGTAGTTGTTCACATGAAATTGCTTTCTCATAAATTACTTTATTGCAAATTTATGGAATAATTCATTTATTGAAAACCTGTAGACTTTAAAAATCCCAACTTTAGAAACCATCTAGAAAGAAAAGACGAGACGTAACTTGCAACGTTGTCTAACTTTGCTTTTATAGGAGGCATGGAAATTCACACTAGAGAAAGCAAGACAAATTGTCAAGAAATCCCCAACTCTGGTAAGAAATGAGCCTTTTCCTTGGCACGTTCATCTCCCACTGGCCCTGTTCTCACCTCCCAAAGGCAAGGGCAACTCCAGGTCAAAGCCTGCAACATGCCATAGCTGCACTGGGATTAAAGTACTAACAGGAACATGAGCCCCTTCCTAGCTTTTTTTTCCTGGCTTCTCTCTTAACCTCTACACTACTGACTTTGAGGCTGGGTAATCCTTTGTTGTGGGGACTGTCCTGTGCTCTGTTGGGTGTTTAGCAGCATCCCTGGCCTCTACCTACTAGATGCCAGTAGCACCCTCCACCCCTTCCCAGTCATGACAACCCAAAATTCCTCCTGACATTGCTCAGTGTCCCCTGGAGAAAAAAATCACCCCCAGTTGAGAACTGCTGCTCTCTAGTGGACCATTTTGGAGGAGATTATATCCTCCTTCTCCTCTACTTTCTAAAAATGTGACCTTAAGCAAGGTGCTCAACTTCTCTGAGCCTCGATTTTCTTGTCTGTAAGATAAGGTCAGTAATAGTGGCCTCCAATGTGAGGACTAATAGAGTTGATGTGTGTGAGGCATCTGGTGTCTCGCCTAGGACTTATCCAATACTCCATAAATGTTAAAGTCATCACAATTACTATTCATTTCCCCTAATTTGTCATCTTTGTAATAACACTCTCATTCAGCAGATAGGATGTTTAGTTAAAATAAGTTCTTGTGAAGTTAAGCATTTAGCTTGGGTCCCGGTTGCAAATCAGCCCCAGTAGAAAAGGAAGCAGAAAAGTAGATCTCTAAAGACAGCGTCATCCTCAATGCTAAAGATCCTGGCAGTAAGGGAGCATTCATCAGCAACGGGAGGGCAAAGACCTTGTCCTTGGCTTCTCCCTGCTGGCCAGCTCATCACTCATGTGATGCAATGCATTTAAGGTATTATTGATTTGGCAACACGGAAATAAAGGGGAGGAAATCCCTCGTGGCCAGGCTAGCCAGATTTAGCAAGTGAAAAATAGGATGCCCAGTTAAATTTGAACTTCAGATAAACAATGAATAATGTTTTAGTATAAGTATGTCTAATGCAATATTTTATCTGGCAACCCTGTTCATGGGGGGCATATGGGGCTTGATGCACCAGGCTGCTGTGTGTTAAATGGCAATATGCAGGCATTTCCACATACGTGATTAATCGATCACGACGTCTGCACCGCCAATCATTATTTAATGCAGTGAATAATTAAGGGCCAACAGTAGCCAGTTTAGCTAATTTGCTTAAGTTGTTGAATGAGATCTGGAGGCACTGCAGGAAGCCCTTGACCGCCGCCTTCAGAACCCTGAGCAGAAACGGAGAATAATAGAATTCATCTTTTATTCCTCTCAACACACGTCTAAAAACTTATTCTCAGGGCATTGTTTACTTCACTAGCACAAACTGCCTTGGCGTTAACTCAAAGACTAATTAGGATTTTACAGTTTTTTATTTCTGTCACCAGAATTGCAAGCATAATTCATGGGGCAGAATTCCAATAATTACTTGCGAGAAGCCAAAAATAAAAAATAAAAATTCTACTCAACGATTCAACGATTAAAAAACTCCTCAGAAACCTCCACCAATTTATTTACTCTCCAGATGAAAGCTATCAAGGAAAAAATAATCAGAAAATGCAAATAAGTGTCTCTGAAAAAATCGCTCATAGAGAACAGACCACGATTGGGCACACTGTGGTGGCCGCTGTAACTGCAGACCCGGCCAGGACACAGAAAGCAACACACAGTAGGTCGCATGTCATTTCAGTCCAGCCTGTCAGGCTGAGAATCCAGACAGGAGAGGTTACGCATTGTTGAAGGAAATCGAATGTTCCAGAGAAAGTCCAGATCTCAATGAGGCCCTAAAAAGCTCCTTGAGGGAACTTTTTGTGGATTTGGTGGAACATTGAGCATCTAAGAGCACCTGAGTTATGGAATCACCTTACTTGATTCTCACCTCCACAAAGTAGAGTATTTTTGTTATCAATTCCATTTTGCAGATGAGAGGACTGAGTCTCAGGCAGGTTAAGTAATTTGCTCACTCCACATAGCTAGTAAGTGAGAAACCCATCATTTAAATGCAGAGCTAGCTATTCCCAAGTTCAATATCCTTTCTGTTAGGCAGGTAGCTCTCAGCAAGTCCTCCTCAGTGCTAAACTTTAGGGAGCACCATTCATAGCGCAGGCTATGTGGATATTGGACTCCTACAGTGGACAACCTGTGCAGCTATACATGACAGCCCTGATCACAAACTCACCTGCTCAACAGTATCATCTGGGAAGCCTTTAAAAATTGCTAATGTCCAAGCCCACCTCAGACCAGTTTAAATCCAGGTATTATAACACACAACGAGGGTTGAAAACTACTTCACTATGTAGAAATTCAATTTTATCTTGGCTGCATACAGAAGAGTGATTACTCTCCCCCTATGGCCTTCCATTTACCCCATTCACCCCATTTTTCTTTATTCAACCCCTGTTTGTTGTTCTGAATTCATTTAATATTCTGGTGTGTGGGGAAGCTCAGGAGGCCGGTTAAATCGATTGCAAAGTGAAGATGCCGCATAACTCCTGTCCCCAGCGACAGCACAGATTTGAGACTTTCATTTTAGGTGGGATTAGATGCAGCCAGATGCCATATTTTAAATCCATTGCTGTGTTAATAACAGCCCAAATTTTGTCTCTATCTAGCAAAGTTCCAATGGGAAGGAAGGGGCTGGCAAACACGCAGGCAAGGACTGCTTGTTGCAATGCTGCTCTGGGCCCATCTCTGTTCTCTTTGCAAACAAATTGTAAGAGGATGACAGTCTTTCCCTTGTTATGTGATGAGAAGACCAAATAATCAAAACCTCTGTCTAAATAGGATCAATTCTGGGGTGGGGGTTCCTGGGACATCATCCGTCACCCGCTTCCTAACCCCAATTTCTGTACAATGAATGTCAAAGGCAGCTGCAGTCATGCAGCTGAATTTTGACACTGAACAGCCGTGTCATTATGAAATTTTATTTTATTGTACCTTTTTTGCAGTGATTATAAGACTGTCCCTATAAATTTTTTTAATATATTGGTTATCATGAATGTTAAAAATCTACATTGTCATTAGGATAATGAGACCAAGGCCTTCAGACTAAAGTAAATATTAAAACAAGTAGCTCAAATATTCAAATGCAGCCTGACTTTGAACTCTAGGTCTCAGGATGTATCTGTACTTCCAAAGTGCCACCAATGCTGTTCTCATGCTGCTGTTTGTTTTACAGTGTGGCTACAATTCTGATCTTAATCAGCTACTACGTCCCTGAATTCAACCTTCTAAACACCCCTCCTTTGCACCACTGCCCTCCCTGCCCCTTTTACATCAGTGCCTCCCAACAAGTGGCACTTGTGCCCCTCACCCCACCCTGGGTCTGGCGATGTCTGGGGACAGATCTGCGCTGCCGGCATCTGGTGGGAAGAGGCTGGAGATGCTGCCGAGCACCTCACAATGCACAGGACAGATGCACAGCAAAGAAAGAATTAGTGTCAGCCCCAAATGGCAATAGAGATGAGGTTCCAAACCCTGGGATCAGGCCTCAGGGTCCCTTATCTCTGATGGGCCTCTCTGCCCTCTCTTGCCTCCTCTGGGCCAACATCCTACCCGAGCCACGGCTTTCTGAAATACCAATGTAGCTCCTCTGCCTGACACCTTCAGGGATCGCTCACAGTCCTCAGGGTAACACCTGGCGCTGTATCCCAGGCTTGCCATAATGTCCCCTTCCTTCTATGGGTCACCGCATCCTGTGGTTTCTGATGCTCCAGCCGGGCCACAAAGTTTGGCATTCCCCTAAAACACCAGACTTTCTCATGCCTCCACGGAACTGCTTGGGGTGCTCCCTCCACCTGGAACCCGGCTTCTTCAGCTTTAGTGTACACCCCAGGGGCCTTGTTAAAGTACAGATTCTGATTCTGTAGGTCTAGGGTGGGTGAGACTTTGCTATCACACCTTGAGTGGCTAGGATCTAGGCCAGTGGTTCTCAAGGCTTACTAGGCATTGGAATGGCTTAGACGGCTAAGAAAACAGGGTGCCAAGACCCACCCAAGGTTTTTGATTCAGCAGATCTGGGGGGGTCCAAGAATTTGCATCTCTAGCAAAGCTGTGGGCTGCACTTTGAGTCACAAAGCCTCAGGGCATCTGTCTCTTCCTTACCACCTGCCTCCATCCTGCCTGACTTCTGGGTCGTCTGCATCCTCTCCCAGGTTCCTAGGGAGCCCTGCTAGTGCCTCAACCCCTGCAGACCCCACAGAGTGTGCCCAGAGCTTGGATATCCATCCATGCCCTGAACTCCATGGTGAGCTGATGGCAAGGACAGCCTCTTGCTCCGCACATCTCACGTAGAGAGGGGCGTTGGTCAGGATGTTTTTCTCCTCCTGGAAAGCCAGGCAGGCATCTCAAAGATCCTTGAATACTTCATTTATATTCTGAAAAGGTAGCCAGTTATCCTTTGCCAGGTCAAAATATCACCAGTGCCCATGAAACCCTGCATAACCCTCAGAAGGACTTCCCAGGCCAGCAGGAATCCACTGTCTCTCTCCCTTCGTTGATAAATGGGGGTTCCTAACTCTTCCCACCCTGTTGTCTTTTCTTTCTTTCATTTGAGGAAAGCATCATGGAAACCACAATCTTTCTAAAAACACAGCTTAGTGAAGAGCCAGGGCTTTTATCAATAATGTACCCCACTCTTAGAATCTCATGGAAACCGCTGTCTAAAATCCCATGGCTTGCGGAGCTGCACACTCTCTGCTCCTCTGGGGAAGGGGCCGTCCTTCCCTTTAGTCTTTATTTCCATAGTAAGATGGAATTGTTTTATTTGAAATTGTTCTCTATTTTCAAAGCTCTTGGGTAGAGGAATGTCATTGACAGAATAGAACCGACCAACGTGGAGAGTGCGGGTGGCCGGGAAAGTGGGACGAGCCTGTGGGTGAAGGGGGAGGGCCTTCCCGGCCAGGGGTTGGGACAGGTGTGGGATGGGGCCAGGGGCAAGAGGTGAATTTAGGTCAGTAAAACGGGGCTGCATTCTAGAGGGAGAAGGGTCCAGAAATCTAGGCTACAGAGGGGCCCTTAGAGGGCAGGGAACTACTCCTTAAATAACTCTCTTTTTATTGTCTTTTTTTTCTCCCCAGAAATACTCTAGAAGTGGTTCTGGCATTTGTTCACTCCCGTTTTTGGCCAAGATCTGTCAGAAAATTAAACAGTATGTATATAGTCTCTACCTTCCCGAGCACCAGCATGTGATAACATCTTTGCCGGTCCTCATTTTCTAATGACTAAAATGATCGTCACACTTGAAAGGCATCTTCCTGAGGGTGACAGTGTTTCTGCTCGAAACATGACTCGTACAGAAACAAGAAGACAAATTAGCTCTGAACAAAATCATTTTGGAAATGTACTGAATACCAGGATCTTTGCATCTCAAAGCTCGATCTATGCCTCAGGCTAGAATGCGCCCTGCCTGGGAAGCCCCGTGCTCCCTTTGCTGTGCTGGGGACGGCCCCTCCTTGCCGTCATGGCAGAAACTCCTTGAACATCTTTAGTGCAAAGGGACCATTTTTTTTTTCACAGAGCCCAAACTATTACCTGAAAAATCTGGCTTGGATACATGCAAATAGGGTCCTGGATACAGAGACACTATCCAGAACTTTCAAGCCCTCCTGTCTCAGTTTAAAATCCTACACTCCAGCTCCACTTTGAGTCCGGGGTTATGCTAGACGTCATAGTAGTCGCTGTTCGAAACGTTAAGAGGTGGAACAGTGTCTTGAGAGGGACATTTGACTCAGGCGCACAATAGTGTAGGTTCTACCCTCCGCTAAGCTACTTCCGACGTGACCACTGCTGCTGTTGCTGCTACCAGCAAACATATGGCGCTGTTCTAGGTGCCAGGTGCTGACCTTTCAATACGTTGCCTCTCTTACTTCTCACAACTGTATGGGGTCAGAATGGTTATTATTCCCATTTCACAGGGAAGGAAGCTGAGCCTTAAAGAAGTAACTGTCTCCAGGCTGCCGAGGACCAACATGCAGCCCCAGGTGTATTGACCTCATGTGTTCTTGGGGAACATGCATAGTCTTGACTCCTTTGCAATGCTGCCTCTTGAGCCGACTTTGAGGACCTGGGCCACTTAATGTCTCCAAGCCTCAGTTTCCCCATATCTAAAATTAAAGCATAAACTAAATGCTGGCTACACCTCAGAATCATCTGGGAACTTTTACAAATCCAGATTCCTTGGCACCAGCGCTAATAGAGAGCACTGTGTTTTCCTGAACATTCTCTGTTAGGGGATCCTCAGGCAATTAGACCCACACCTAGACTCCTGGTTGTCTGTGTCCCTCCAGCACTCATCTTCCAGTTCGGGTGCAAGACCACAACTGTTGCATATACTGATAATGTTTTAATGACTCGAAAGAATGTTCCTTAGCTGTGAGACACTCACTTAACCCCACCACCAGCCCCGGCCCTTTCTCTTTTACTCTTCCTGTCCCGCAGGAGCTCCAATAACTTTGGCCTGTGCTAGTCCAGCCTGGCTGTTAGACCTGAGAATGCCCGAGGTGAGAGTTGGGCTGCGCACCTGGACTGAGGGGCTATACTAGTTTCCCGTGGCTGCTGTAACAAAATACCACGAACCAGGTGGCTTAGAACAACAGAAATGTATTCTCCCTCAGTTCTGGAGGCCAGAAGTTTGAAATCAAGGGATCAGCAGGGCCATATTCCTTCTGAGACCTTAGGTAGAATCCTTCCTCATCTCTTCCCAGCTTCCGATGGCGGCTGTCTGTCCTTGGCATCCCTTGGCTTGCAGCTGCATCACTCCATCCTCACATATGGCCGTCTTCCCCTAGTAGCTGTCTTTTCCTTTTATAAGGACACCAGTCATACTGGATTAGGGCCCAACCCTAATGGCCTCATCTTCACTTGATTACATTTGCAAGGACCCTATTTCCAAATAGGGTCACATTCACAGGGAGCAGGAGTTAGGACTTCAACATGTCTTTCTGATGAACACAATTCAACCCCTAACAGAGGCACATTTACTATGTCCCACCACCTTTCATCTCATGAGCTTCATGAGAGTTAAATCCACTGAATACCTCCAGCTCCTGTCTGTTGTGAAAATATCCACCGAGAGGAGGAGGCTACGATTCAGACCCACCTTCAGAGCCTCTTAGAGATTCAAGAGTTAAAAAGTTAAAAACTCTTCCTGGTTTATCCGCCGGCATAAGCCTCTGCAAGCCAGCTGTGCGAAGTGCTGGCCTGGGTCTCAGAAACAGTAGTGACACCCCTTTCCATGAATGGGGTGAATGCGGACAGCATCGGGCTGCAGGGAGTAGAGGGGAAATACCAGACATGAAAGAAGATGCTGGGAGGCTCAGGTGCAGCCAGCTCCCCATGCCCCTTCATGCCCTCATGCCTGGCTGCCACTGAATTGAGACCCCCATCCCCTCCTTGCTGAATGCATCATTGTAGTTTCTGGGTCAGATGTGGACCAGCAGGACCCAGCAGTGCCAAAGTGACAACACTTCCAATGAACCACCTCTGAGAAATGGAATTCAAGAGCATCTGTGGCCAGGAATTTTCTTGGTCCAATTTAAAAGGAGAAATCATTCTTTTATGAAAAAACAAAAATGTATTTTTCTTCACTCTAAAAATCACTGTGTTTCAAGTATCTTTGACACCAGGTCACAATTTGTTGAGTGCTTTATTATTTACAAAGCACATTAAATGCAGTCTCATTTATTCTTCAAAACAATCTGCGGTTCAGTACTAAAAATGATAACTAAAAGTTATCTGGTGCTCTCTGTGCACCAAGAACTGTCGTAAATGCCACCCTATAAGGTAGAGACCATTATTGTCCCCTTCTAAAGAGGTAAAGTCATTTGACCGAAGTCACAGAGCTGGTAATGGACAAATCTGATCTTTGAACCCAGCAATCGGGTTCCCACTGACCCCTCAACTCTTAGGCCTCCTCTGTAGGTGAACAAGTGGCTTTCACATGCCTGACCCACCAGCGCAAAGTCAGCAGGTGGTCGAGACAAGACCTGTGTGTCTTCTGTTGCACAGTTCCTTGGTCAGATCCCTCCGGAAGGAATCCCTTTCCTGCTCTGTGCCTCTGCATGGCCCAGCCTGTGTGGTTTACAGCTTTCAACATTCAGCTGAGGGTCCCCACCCCAGGGAGGTGTTCCTGCTCCCAGCCCACCCTCAGTCCCGGTGCTCCCACTCCCTGCTCCCCCAGTCTGCCATACCGCCCATAAGCTCCTACAAAGCAGGGCTACCATTTCTCGGTAGTAGGAGCTCAGGGAAGAAATGAGGGAAGAAATAAAGCAAAAGCATTACTTCACCAGGAAAAAAAAGTGTGCAGACTATCAGGCTACTCCCATGGGGTAATCAAGTTTTTTGTTGTTTTGCACAGTGCAGCACGCTGTTCATCATTGTCACAATTTATTACAATGGTAGATTAGGAGGGTCCCCTCGTTTACAAATCTATTCCCTTTATATAATACCTATCTACACACACACACATTATTTCATACAAATACATACTAACTATATATTTATATCCTACGTTAATTGGGTTTTTCATTCAACACTATTTTCTTTTCCTTTTTCACTTGCTCTTCCTTGCCCATGCCCTACTCCTTCCACCACATCTGTCCTGTCCCCACCACTGAAGCGAACCATGTCTACAGGTCTACAGGTCAGGGTGTGCCCTCATGGTTTCCCTGCTCTCACTCCATCTTACACAGACCCACAGAACGCAACCACATCCATACACAGCCAGCCCACACCCTGCCCTCCAGTGCCACCTGGGACTCCAATATGTGGCAGGTACACATGAAAATTGATTCTCATTATGTTTTCTTTTGTCATAATGCCCCAGTTTCCGGAATCATTTTGGAGATATTAAACTTGAATAGCTCAGTATTGTGTAATTAATAACATTCGGCTGCAATTAGAGTTGCTCACTGGATCCAGCCTGCTAGCCCGACATCTGGCATCTACGATACAGCCATGGCAGCCATACCAGCCTGCATGACAATTGGATAGAACGTTGTGTGGCCAGAAACCTGAACATCTGACAGGGTCCTTGGATTGGGGTCGGGTTGTCTCTAGAAATGAAGACACATGACTCCTGTTGCCCAACCCTAGGAACCATCCTTGAAATAACTGTTTCCACTGCACATAGTAACAATAAGAGCTAATGATTTTTGAGAACTTACCGTACTTCAGAGACAGAGAATGATAGTGGTCCTATTTTACAAATGAGGAAACTGAGGTATGAAAAGATTAAATGATTAATAATTTTATTTATTAATAATAATTAATATTAATAATTAATTAATAATGAAATAAAGTCACGTAGCTAGTAGACAGCAGACCTGGGATTCAAACCCAGAGAGTCTAATTTCAGAACCCAGAGCTATGTTAAGGGAATGCACATGGCTCTTCCTTCCCACTGGGATGCCCTTAGTCCAATTACTTGCCTTGAAAATGCTTCCTCATCCTTTACGTTTCACCTTAAGATCACCTCCTTCCTCATACACAGTTAGACATGTTTCCCTCTAGGGGCGCAACACCTTTGTAGTGTCTTCTCTCCAGGACTCAATTATCTACTGATGCGTGGATTTCACCCATCCATCATTAAGCTCCTCAAGCACAGCAAATGTGCCTGGTATTCATCCCTCGTATCTATGGGATGAATGCCCAGCACACAGCAGGGACTCCAAACACGCCTGTGGAATGAATGAATGAATGAATGAATGAACATTTCCACATACACCTAGATACTTCTAAGGATACACAAGGTATCAAGTTTAGATGCAATTTTACAATAATAATTTTAGTAAAAAGTAAATAATGCCTTATCCAAAACCTTGGCACCAGATATGATTTAGAATTCAGAATTTTCATATTTTTAAGAAAGTAACATATGGTGCGTATACCATAACTCACCTACCCTCCCCAGCACCTCTTGATCAAACACATTTCTATTTCAGAGTGAAATGTATGAGTTTTCACACTCAGTATGGTAAAGTTTATCAACTGCTTTATATCAGTTCAGGTCAAGTTTTGTCACCAAATGATGTTGCTACAAAGTTGGAAAACATTTGGATCAGGGGGCTGTGAATAAGGGATTGTATAGTTTAGATGAATTGCAATTTACTCTGCTTTGGAGAACCAATCTACCCACTCGTGTCTAGAATGCATGGCTTTGGTCAGTCACTTTGAGCCTTTAAGCAGACCAAGGTTACTGAACTGGTATTCAAGTCCTAGAGACAACTCATTGTTCCTTCTTTCAAGGACAAACTCTCACCCCTAAGATGGCAAAGGTGGAAGGCGACAACTCTGGCATACTGAAATGAGACCTTTTCTCAGACTGAAACTATGGCTCTTTGGATCCATGCCATCTCTCTCCCCCAACCCCTTTTCTCAACTAGAAAAATAAAACAGCTGTCCAAGAGGTCCGGTTCCCCCCTGGGAAAAAGCCACCTAGTTTCACAGATGTGAGCTTCAAAAGCCTCCTCCAAAACTGTTCTTAACAGTCACAACTTCAATGATTGTATGTCATTGGTCCAAGCTTTTTCAACTTTTCTTTTCTTTTCTTCTCTTTTTTTTTTTTTTAGAAAAGGTCTTATTCTGGAGTTTTTCCATGCTGAATGCAGTGGCTCTATCATAGCTCACTGTAACCTCCAATTCTCAGGCTCAAGCGATCTTCTTGCCTCAGCCTACACTAGGACTACGGGCATGTGCCACCACGCCGTGCTAATTTTGTGATTGTTTGTAGAGATGAGCTCTTGCTGTGTTGCCCAGACTGGAGCGTTTCTTTCTTGACAGAAGATGCAATGGGAGAAAAACATTCGTAGCTCAGAGCAGACAAAGAATGGGATGTATCTAGAAACCTTTGAATGTCAGAGCAGGGCTGAATCTTACAGATGATCTTGTCCTACCTCCTGTTTTGCGTGAGGAAAAGCAGCATTACAGCCTCTCTGAGTCCCCTTCTGGAACCTTCATCTCCCACCACTTCAACAGTGGGAAAATCAAAGTTTTGGGTGATACAGCGGTGGCATTTGGCCACAGCCCACACCTGGATTACTACTGCATCCCTCGCCACCTTCCCCCAGGGCCGGTCTAACTTTCCACGTAAGAGGGGATGTGTGCAGTCAGCAAGTAGAACCTCCCTACCTCTCTGCTGGTCATTCCTCTCTGGCCCTGTTCAACCATTCCCAGCCCAAGAAGAAGGTGAATTTGTCCTTTCAGACTGCAAGCGCTAGTAACCACAGCTGCAAGCACTCTGTGAGGCCCAATACCAGGGGCTTTTCATGTTGTTTCATTTAATCCTCCCAATAAACCCTGGGAGGGAGATGGCATGAGTCACATTTTACAGATAAAAAAAGAATGAGGCTCAAGGAGGTTAAATTGCCTTCCTAGGACCCCAGAGCTAGTAAGGAAGTGGTGGACGGAGCAGGTTCCAACCGCAGACTCTGGAGCCCTTATGAACTGCCACACTCAACTCAGATCTGGCAAGAGGACTTTAATTCTAAGGGAAAATTCTTCTTTGAGACACTAAAGGCAGCCAGCTGCCTTGTTCTTTCCGGGTCTCAGCCTCCCCTGCTCCCCAGCCCAGGGAGGGAGGGAGGACTAGCTATGAGACACCAGCCGTGTCTCCTTCAGCACTGGGTCCTAGAAGCCAACGAGTTGCCCAAGACAGGAGCTTGCCTTCCACGCTCCCTGCACCCCTGCGCCCAGGGTCCTCCCCACACTCGTTCATCCTGGGGTCCTACTCAGTGTTCAGTCAGGAAACAGAACCATGCCAGGTATTTCATGTAGGGAAGGTTTAATAAAAGGAACCAGTTTTGTAAGTGTGAAGAGGCTGCAAGAGTCAAAAGGGGAAGGAGAAGCAGCCTAGCTGTGCTAGGTGGCTGGGGGTAAAAATGAGCAGCCACGCGGGCTGAGACTCCCAGGAGGGCCAGCTGTGGCTAGAGCCAGTGCCACTGAAGGGAACATCCAGAGACAGAGAGAGAACAACTGCTCCTCTCCTCTCTCTGCCCTGTCTTCCCTCCAATGCCAGCTCTAGCTGGCAAGGGAACCTGGGAAGTGTGTTTTCAAAATTCCCAGCCCCAGAATTGCAGAGCAGGATACAGGCTACATATATAACCAGCACGGTGCCCTTTAGGACTTCCCCAGAGAGGCCTGTAACCTGGCCTTCTGGTGGGTCCACCACCCCAGAGTGCAAAAGATGGGCTCAACGCTACCAGCGTGTCTCGAGGTTCTCAGAACTGCTGAGATGCCCTGATGACTCAAAAGATCATTTAGTAAATCCTGTAAAGCAGCAATCCCCAACCTTTTTGGCACCAGAGAACAGTTTCATGGAAGACAATTTTTCCACAGGCAGGAAGGGGAGAGGTGGAGTTCAGGCAGTGACGCGAGTGACGGGGAGTGGCTGCGGCTTGCTTTCTTACAGGCCGTGGACCAGTACCAGTCCACGGCCGGGGGGCTGGGGACCACAGCTATAAAGGGTCATGTTACTCGCTGTAAATTCTAGGCCCCAGAAAAGCTTTACCCTGCCATATCACTGCATTATTCTGCTACCTCACAAGTGATTTTCCTAAACCAAAAGCAGCATTTTCCACAGAGACTGGGAACAGTCTGGTGGTGAGGGCACAGGGGAAATCCACTCTTGTGAGTGTCTGTGGCTTCAGCGTGGATGTCTTTGGTCATCACAGCAGGGTCCTTGGTTTCCTAGGCTCATGAATGGGAATGAAAGTTGCCAGTGAATGACAACTATAATAAATGCCTCAAGATTCTCAGAGTAAGTGGTTAAAAAGAGTAAAATTTTAAGAAAAGCTTTCCATAACAGAATGTGTAAAATGGCAAGAATTCAATTTGTAGTGCTGAGTTCATTGACTGAACTCAAAATACAGTCTCCTACTTCCTGGGATCTCAATATCAGTATCCACATCCTCTAAAATTTCAACTCAATTATTTCACTTCCCCATAGGGGCCAAGTTAAATATCACAGAGAAAACTGTCCTGTTGGGTGGAGAGCAGAGAGTGGCACAGTTTCGCTGGCTCTCTCATGTACCACGCAGACCCTTAATTCTGTTTTTAGAATGGCCCTCTGTCACAAAACGCAACACAGCTGTATCTGAAAATGTCTCTGTTTGTTTTCACAAACATGGTTTCTGTTTTTCTTAGCTCACCAGATGTTTTGTTTTCTTTTTTCTAGAGCTTTTCAAAATTCTGTGCCATTCAAAGATGTAGATTCAGACAAATACAGCATCTTCCCAGTAAGTATTATTAAAAATGATTAGATGTTCACTAAATATTGCATTGCTTCCTACAGATTTCTTTCCTTTAATAAGACAAGGCTGAATTTCATTTGAATGCATTATTAATTTGATGAACAATACATTATTTCATGATTTTTAAGGATTTTTTGGCATCATGATAATCCATAGGCCATCAGAGTAAATCTTAGGCCCAGACTGTTTTTATTTCAGTTCCCAGCTGGGATTCTCTATGGGAACAAAGGTTATCTTGAAAGGTGTTGTGAATTATTTGGGAAATTCTTAAACTTACTTTAACTTACTTTTTTAAAGTGTGTGTGTGTTGGCTAGAGATTTTTAAATTATTCAGTAAAATGATTAATCATTTGGCCAAATAAACCGATTGTCTTATAGTCTGACAAGAATGATGGTTGATAGAGAAATTTCAGGAAATTGGATGATTCTCCTGTTTCTGGAGGTGCACATAGACACACATGCATGAATAAACATATCCACACAGACACACGCGTACATGCATACACGTCTGCAACATGAACACACATAAACACATACACATGCACCCCCCACAAACACACACATAGGCACACACCCAACATCACACACACACACATTCGTATACACACACACACACATTCGTATACGCACACACACCCTGCCACCTGTCATTGGCCCTAGTGTTATACTACGTTTCACCTCCCACAGCATGTCTTATCATATTAATCTTAATTTTCTTGGTGTGCTTCAGTATTCCTAGACTGAATTTGAATTAAAACCTGCAGATGTCAGTACCACCCAGACAGCTCCGATTAACCTTCCTCACGGATAACACCCAAACAGACTGACTACATCCTATGCGTGCTCTTCAATTTCAGACGCTGCGGGGCTATCACTGGCGAGGGCGAGACTGTAACGACAACAACAAGTTGGTGTACCCAGGCAGAAGGTAACTATTTCCTCTGGCCACCGATTTTGAAAATTACCTTCAAGAAAGGGGGCAGGAGGCATAATTCCTTCCCCCAGCCTAGGGTATTCCCACTTATGCAGAGACAGGACCTCCACGTCTCAATCGAACTAAAGCTTTAGCAAAAAAAGAACAGCATTTATTTGTTCATTTATTCATTCATTTGTCCAGGAAATGCACCAACTATTTGCCAAGCACTTTGCATCGTGCTGGGTGGTAAACAAAATAGAAATATACCTCCTCTCCTGGAGCTGATAGTTGAATGGGAGAAACAAGAAAGTAAATAGATTATTGTGGACATTTATGAGCATTCTATATAAGTTCTACACGCAGGATTGGGCCCAGAAATAGCGGCCTCTCCCCCCAGGAGTAAGGAGAGGGCTCCGATGGATGGGAAGCACGCCACACTTTATCCCTGGGCTGATGTTCAGTCAATCACATCTCTGACTTAAAAAACGGATATGCCAACCCTCACCTCAGCTGTGACTACAGTGCCAAAGCATTGAATTAACCAGATATTTGGGCATTTACTGACACAATGGGGTGCAGATTTGTTAATTATGTTCATCAGCACCATTCCACAACAATATACTCCATGAATATAGTCAATCATGAAAAGGGATTTGATCCAGAGCTCCCAGCGAACATACAAAACCAAGATTAATGCAAAGAGGCTGAATGAGGCCTCTGGGCGTCACAACACACGGTGGTACGTGGCACTCTTCCATGAGGAATGCTGTTTTCTCTCCATGGCATTTCTAGTAGCACTCCCCCGTCCATTCACTCATTCATGAAACTGACATTCATTGAGGGACAAGTATGTGCCAAAGACCAATATTGATGTTTCCTCCTCAGGCCAGACAACTGGGATGCACATCAGGATTCAAACTGTAACGGCATTTGGGTGAGCAACCACGTTCAAATTTAACCCCATCCCCTTTTCCCCACCCTCCCCAAAAGCCTATCACCTGTTTGCATTAGTCAGACCCCGGGAAGACAGTGACAGCCCGAAGCAACTCTTTTCCTGCTGCTCGGAAGATGAGTATAGAATTCTGATCACACAGGAAGAGTGCTGGTGATGTACTGAGTGTTGAGGCTCTCTCAGTGACGAGCCCTTTAAGCCTCACTTAAGGTCACCCACATTTATTCCCTTTATTCTGTTTTGAACAGTGTGAAATTAAATGAAGAATAGTGTTAGCAAAGTTTTACCGCAACCCACACAGCTGTTGGAGCGAACCACATGCTGTTCTTGTTTTGTTGCAGCCATTTTTTTCCGTTTCATAAGCCACGTCAGGCAGAGCAGAAATCACCCTGGATTTACCCCGCTACCCACACCTTGAGGCTGCTAACGCTCGGTGTCCCAGTTCCCTATGAATAATGGATTTGCAGCTTCCAGATAGAGAAGAGAGAAGGAGGGAGGAAAGCCGACCAAACGTGCATCTGTGGACAGCAGCGGCACAGCAGACCTGCGTGTGTGGGGTCCTAAGCTTACATGATTTGACGGCTCCTCATGAAGAAAAAGGATACCAACTTACAAATACAAAATCAAGTATCAGAGTAAATGATTATTTAGAGCAATAAAAGAAATCTTAAAACATTTCTGGAATCTTAGAAATTCAGGTCCCCTTCTTTTGAGATCTCTTTTTCTGATTTACCAGCAGCATTTATGGAAAAACAAATCCTAATCGAAGCCTGGCTTTCCTCCCCCCCCCTCCGAACACTCTATAGCTCCCAGTCACTCCCAGCACTCAGATGGACAAGAGCGGTACAAATGAGGGCCCCTGAAGGTTAAGATTTCCTGGCTTCAAGGTACATTTCCTCTGACTAGTTGCCTCATTTATATGGTTGGATGAAGAGGAAAATGTTTTTGTAAATATTTTCCTCTGTCCAGTACACTAATGGTCCAGGCTTGTATCAGTAATCACTTACTGTATACATTCTGGTCCCATGGCTTCTGGGATATTGAAAGCATGACAGATGACTGTGCCCCACCCACCCTACCCCTCAGTCACTCTGCCTTTTCACTGGGGGGAAGACATCTCCCCTGGAGGTTATGGTGCCAAGACCCCCAAGGCAACCCTTGTTTTGATAAACCCAAGCTTAGTTGTCATGCCAGAGGACAAAGGGGGCTGGCTGATCAGGGTCTGTCTTCATTCCATGGTCCCACCCTTGTCTCTGACATGGAGTGCCACCCACATAAGGGTGGAAGGCAAGGGGCAAGCAAGAGACTGTCTGAGACCAGAGGAAATCCACCATGAGCTCATCATGGTCATGGAGAAAGACACATTACCTTCATACTCATCCCTTCCCACAGAGGAAAAACGACTCGCAGAATCACAATGTCACAAACTCAGAGGGAGTTTTAAGACCGTCAAGTCCAACATTGTCCAAACCGTGCCCATGGAACAGCAGTGTTGAGAATGATGTTAGCAGGTTCTTTGATGTTTTATTATGCAGGGGGAGCTCACTCTCACTCAAGCCCGGGAGAGTGAGCACACTCTTTCCAACACATCTCTGACCGCCAAGCACTTTCATCTTGGCATACTAGGAATATTCCTTCTGAGGAATGGCCACTCCACTAAAGGGTAGCTGTAACTTTAGGTGTTAGGAAATCCTAGCCATGGTAACTCAGTTCCATTCCCAGGCCCAATCTCACTTCCAGGTTACTTAATCTCAGCACTATTGATGTTTGCGTCAGATAATCCTTTGCTGGTGGTGCTTTCCTAAAAACTGTAGGATACTTAGCAACATCCCTGGCCTCTGCCCACCAGATTCCAGTGGCACACCCACCCTGCTACGACAACCAGCAATGTCTCCAGACATTGCCACAGTCCCCAGGGAGGGGGAGGCACAAAATTGCCCCCCTTGAGAATTGCTGCTCTAGAAGCATCCATCCTTAGGTGCTAGAGATGTCAGAACACTTAGGTCTTGAGCTCAGAGACTGCAGGACCCACCCTGACCTTGTGTCCCAGTCACTCGGTGGTCCCTTGGTGAGACTTCTGGTCCGGGCACCTCTCCCAGATCCCTGCATCCCTCTGAGTGAGATAGCCCAGTGTCTGGGTGTCTCCTGACTCCTGTCCCCAGTTCCTCGGAGCCCAGCTCACTCAGCATGGAGCGCTGCTGTGTTGATTAAGGGCTCAAGAGACTTTAAAGTGTTTTATCTACTCATTTGTCTTTGTTCTTTCAAAGCCATTTAGGGAGGGTTTAGTGTATGTGTCTCATAAATTTAAAACCAAACTGCTAATCTCATCATTTCTCTTTTTAAAGGGTGTTGATCCAAAAGATGGAATTCCATATGAGAAGAAATTCTGTGAAGGTATGAACAGTGAAATTCAGGGTGCTATTATACTGTGCTATTCTCCTCCAGTAGAATATTCTTTTGTAATCAGAGTCAAATTGAAGTGAACAGACCGTCAAAGTCAGGAAGTGCCTCATGCTACAACTTACTTTATGTTGACCAATTCACGTTTATTTTCATGACAGATCAGAAAAAGACATTAAAAAGCTTTGGAAAAGGAGGCAGAATCTAAAAAAAGCAAAACTTAATGTGTTTAATTAACTACTTGAGGATTGGAAACTTCAGTGATAATGTTAGAAAAGGCTGCAGGATGGATAACAGAGTAACAGAAATCCGGCACTTTTCCAAATATAAGAAAATAAGTAGAGGTGCCAACTGAAATTTTTAATCTTTCGCATTTCCTTCTCACTACCCTACAAGCTCAGACGCCTGGACTTGTACTGATGGACAAGTCCCTGTGTCCACTGGGCTAAAGATGCATATCTGAATGATTTGAGGGAAACCACCACGCTGTAGCATGTAAGGGCCTCCCAAAAGCTCTGTGCTCTAAATGCCCAAATGTGACAGACATCTGTGCCACCAGCCCCAGCAGGAGAAACCTCACCACCCACCCATTACTGAAAACATGTTGCATGATGCTGACCCCATGGCAACATCATGTTTAAGTTTAGGCAATGCTTTTCTCCCTACTTTCAGAAGCATTCCCCTCATTCATTCATGCAACAGGTATTTCCTGAGCAAATATTCCAATTATGCACCAAGGGCTACACTTGGCTCTGAGTTTTCATGGGCAAAAAACATACAGTCCTTGCCTTGGAACAATTTAAAGTGTAATTGTCTTTAAACTCTCAGAGGGTCAGGAAGGAGGATGGAAAATTTAAAGGCCCATTACATATCTATGCAGTTTAGAAATATTTGTTGGATAAATAAAAGAATGAATGAATAAACCAACTAATGAGTGAGTAAATAAATGCAGATCTAGGGGAAACCCTGGTGCAAGGGTCTGGGGTCACTGTGGGAAGCTTCTTGGATTCCTCACAGTTCACTCCTCCTGTGCTGTCCAGAATGTCCTGGGTCTTCTCAGTTCTCATTCGTGTGGCCAAGTGGCGGCTCCCATGCGGGCCAGGCTAGGAGGCACCGTAGCGAGGCTGGGCGATCCTGCAGCATGACTTGAGGGGTTTGGAGGTAGAGAAAGGAGGCTCCGTCTCTGCCTCTGAGAGACATCAACTGATTCTTCCAGGATCTGAAGGGATTTGGAGGAGTGTGTCCACAGGAGAATGATCTGTGAGCATGGGGCTCAAAATCAGATTAAGTGATTCTGAACCTCCCAACATTCAGGGCTGCACGGAGACCCTTCTATCTCCATCTCTCCGTTAATCAGCCGGAATCATCCATCCAGTGCCTTTGCATATGTGGATTAAGGGCTTTAAAAAAAACATAACATCTTTGAAAAATCAAAATGACTCCATAGGGTCATTAACTCTTAGAGTGAATTGTAATAGAAATTGGTGTGTTTTCAAGAATGCAATTTCCAGAACCAAAATGTAGAGCATATTTCTGAGTTCAGATAAAGCCTTGATTCATTTATTCATCCATCATGCACTCAGGATGTTGTATGGCAGTTTGTTTTATGCTGAGCTCGGAAGTACACCTGCATCTGTACATCTTAGCTAGCACTTCCAATGGCCTAGAAATCTCTTTCTGCTTCTAAATGCTATGCCCCTCACTCTCCAACTCCCGAAAAGTGGCAATGCATCACTGTTACGATGCTCTGTGCCTGGAATACACACCAGGGTATCTGCTCTCACCACTACTCAATCTGGAGGCTCCAAGCCGCTTGAGTGCATAAATAATGTAAATAAATTGTGCTGCCCAGGTTCACAGCCCAGAGGAATCATTTTGCTGGGAGACTCGGCAGGGGCTCATTTTCGCATTTCTCCCGAATGGATCACAGCTTCGCAGATGTCTTTGGTAAGTAATCTTGGCAGTAATGATTCCAGATGCGCTGGCCTTTGTTTCTGTTTCCCCTTGCTCTCCCTAAATGCAATGCCAGCTCCAAACAGGTGCAAATCTCCCTCCTCAGCAAAATCTGCCATGACAGACATATCCGCAGCCATTTCAGTCCCAGGCAAACGGAGGCACAGGGTTCCTTCTGCTCCCAACCTCGGCCAGGAGCCCTAAGGTGGCCGGTGGGAGTGAAGACGAAGGTGGAGAGTGCGCGGAGAGGACGGACGCTGGCTTCCCCATGCAGGCCGGGGCTGCCGCTCTGGGCCTCTCCAGCTTGTTCTTGCCCGAGCAAGTGAGAAGGACTTGGCAGAGCAGAGTGCTCAGCCCGCGGGCCGCTTCTGTGTTCCACGGAAGGGTATCGGGGGACAGACAAGCCTGCCATTCATTCCTGAAGAGGGGTGGGACTGTCCTGAGGGTTTTAACTGAAAGAAATGACGGGGGCCACGAGGCTGAATTGTAACAATGACAGACTCAGAGGAGGCAAGGAAAGGGGAAGGAAATCAACATTATTAACTCTGTGTCAGGCCTCAGACCCCCTGGGAGAGATTTGCATGTGTCACTCAGATGAACGGCTCATAAATATGGGGTAGACACAAAATGGCAACTCTGTATATTCCCAGGTCATCACCTGAGCACACACCTGCCACATTATTGGGATGCCGTTATCTTCCTCTTGAATTGTACAAACACTTGGGAAATCGTGTGGCAAAGGAGGTGCTCAGGGCAGGTGCAGACCCTCGCAGCACTGGGCTCCCCCCGACTCGAGGCACTCGGGCCTAGGGCCTGCTAGGATCTCTTCCTGCCAGTGCTCCGTGGGTCCCCAGTCCGGTGTGGGGTCTCTCCTTCCCAGGGCCCACCTCCCCAGCCCACGGCAGTCAGGTGACCCCCAAAGGGTCTTCAAACCTCTGCGCTGAGACATGCTAAGTACTTGGGTGGGGGATGGAGCTCGCCTCCCCTGCCCACCAGATGCCTGCACTGCCAGCTGGAGGTGGGGGAGAGCTGCCGCTGTGCCCAACCCCAATCCTTCCCTTGCCTGTGCACAGATTCCCGAAAGGGGCAGAGGGTGATATCGGAGCACAAGCCTCTCCTGGTGACACCACCTAGTCTCCACCTTGTTGGTACAGCAGTTGCAAGGCAAAATGGGGAAACACCAAATTTCAGAAAATAGTGGAATAGCCTCTACAAGAATTTTGAGAAGGAAAAAGTGTGTGTCAAAGGTCTCTATACCAGCTATCATTCTCACATAAGAACTACAGAACTTTATTCTTGGTCATTCAAAGACTCAGAAAACATACCAGGCATATGCATTCGTGGGGGAAAACTAATTTTAAGAAAGACT